TACAATAATATGTTCACTGTATGTTCCTTTACCTTTCTCTAATGAAGGCTTTTGTTAAACCACCAATGTATGTAATAAGTCATTTATATCCAATGTATATTTTCAGCCTTCGGGCTGCAGAACTTTTTCAATAAACCGTTAATTATCACACACACACACACACACACACACACACACACACACACACACACACACACACACACACACACACACACACACACACACACACACACACACACACACACACACACACACACACACACACACACACACACACACACACACACACACACACACACACACACACACACACACACACACACACACACACACACACACACACACACACACACACACACACACACACACACACACACACACACACACAACACACACACACACAGACCATTCGTCATTAAGGAGAGAACAGTGATGAAGGTAATCTTGATCAACTTCTTATATACAAATCATTATAGAGAGCCGTGTTGGTCACTACCGAATAATTACCAACATCTCTCTCAAAAGACTGAGTGTGCATTGTGGTTTTCGTCAGCAAGAAAGAAAACGTCCCTTTTCCCTCTCTCCTTCCTTCCTTCCTTTCATTTCCTTCTCTTTACTCTTTCTTCCTCTCCTCCTTCCTACAATCCTACATCCTTCCTTCCTCCCTCCCCACGCCTCTCCTTCCTTCCATCCTCCCTCTCTCCCCCCACGCTTTTCACATAAACCATCCCTTCTCCATCTCTCTTTCCCTTCTCACTTCCTTTCCTTCCTTTACACTGTGGAGACTTACATCGAAGGACCTCAAGTCAGCCAGGTCGTAGGTGTTGCCCAAGTAGACGTCCACGGTGAAGTTGGGGTTGGCTGAGTGTTCGAGGGTGATCCGCATATCCGTCACGTCCCTCAGCCGGGCCCTGAAGGAGTACTCTACCAGCGCTTCCATGGCCGCCACGCTGTCCTGTGAAGGGTAGAAGGGGGGGAGTGAGGTTTAGTAAAGGGTGTTAAGTGAGGGAGGAAAATAAAGGAGGGGAAGAGGGAGGTGGTGAAGATGGAGATAAACATAAAGGGAGAAAACGAGGGGGGGGTGGGAGGGGGGGGGGTGTTAGGTGGTAAAGAGAGAGGAAGACGAAGAGGATTGTGGGCCTATTAAGATTGGTTAGGTTTAAGCTAGGCTCCCTATTAGTGACTATATTAGGCTAGCTAGGTTCAGGCTCCCTAGATTAGTGACTGTGGCCTCATTAAGACTGACTAGGTTTAGACTAGGGGCCTATTAGTGACAGTGGACCCATTAAGACTAGCTAGGTTTATGCTGTGGTCCCATAACTTCTTCACCGCGTTACTCCAGTCCTCATGTCCTTACCAGAGTTGAGATAAGTCCTCCATCCAGCTCCCTCATGACGGCGAGGAACCTGACGATGTTTTCCTGGATGATGCCGATCCCTTCCCTGGCGATGTAGACGAGGAGGGCGTAAGAGGTGGTCTCTACGGCGTGTGCGTCCCACTTCTGGTCATTCTTCGGCCGGATGAAGGGCTTCTGGCTGTCCTCATACACCATGGGGTTGAAGTCCACAGGCTCACGGGACCAATAGATCTTGTTCCCTGGGTTTACAAAATACAAATATAAGTCTACGGTACAGAAGAGGGCTATGTATCCGGCACTGTACTCAATATTCTTTCTTTCCCCAACTGTAACGTTAGATACCGATTCACAGCTGGGTGCTAGACTCGATTCAATGTACTATATACTGAATCGCTTTAAAAAAAATTAATGTGAGTATGAATGATAATATATCCGTTTATACAGATGATTGATTGTGAATATACGAACGGTGAGTATAATAAAGTCTACTGTGAATATAATTTAGTATATTCCCACAGTTAAAATAACAGAAGGACTTATCTCTTATCTCCGAGTATGAATGACAACAACACAACAACATCACTCAATAAACAAGAATATGAAACAATAAGTAGAGTGAGTATATGACTGACTGACTGACTGATTGAATGAGGAGTGACTGTGTGAGTGTGTTGAGATAATGAGTGAATGAGTGGAGTGAATGTGTCATTGTGTTTGAGAGTGAGTGAGTGAATGAGTGAGTGAGTGAGTGAGTGAGTGAGTGAGTGAGTGAGTGTATACCTTACCCTCTACTCTCTTCATTGTGTCCAGTAAGTTGAGGGCAGTTTCCTTCTTGGCAGAGTCGGCCTTGGTGAGTGCCCAGGCTACCAGCGCCATGTCGTATGGATCGTCGAGACTCTCTAGCTTCCTCTCCAAGTAACTGAGAGGTGAGGTATGCTGTGTTAGTTAGGTCTTTATAATCATGAGAGGTGAGGTAAGCTGTGTTAGTTAGGTCTTTATAATCATGAGAGGTGAGGTAAGCTGTATTGATTGGGCCTTATAATCATGAGAGTGAGGTGCCTGTGAATTTAAGTCTTATAATCATGAGGAGAATTGGTGGCTGTGTTAGTTAGTCTTTATAATCATGAAGGAGGTGAAATAAGCCCTTGTTAATTAGGTCTTATAATCATAAGGAGGTGAGTAGCTGTGTTAGTTGATCTTTATAATCATGAGAGGTGAGGTAGCTGTGTTAGTAAAGTCTTATAATCATGAGGTGAATTAAGCTGTGTTAGTAAGGTCTTTATAATCATAAGTGAGGAGTAGGCGCTGTAGTTAGGTCTTTATAATCATAAGTGGGAATGGCTTCCTTTGGTGAGTCTTTATAATCATGAGGTGGGGTAAGCTGTGGTAGTTAGGTCTTGTAATCGCAAGAGGTGAGGTAAGCTGTGTTAGTTAGGTCTTTATAATCATGAGAGGTGAGGTATGCTGGCTGTTGGTTTTCGGTCTTTATAATCATGAGAGGTGGGGTATACTGTTGATTAGGTCATATAATCACTTAGAGAGGTAAGAATTAAGCTGTGTGTTAGTTTTAGGTCTTTATAATCATGAGGAGGTAAGGAGTAAGCTGTGTTAGTTAGGTCTTTATAATCATGAGAGGTGGGGAGTAAGCTTTAATGTTAGTTAGGTCTTTATAATCATGAGGAGGTGAGGTATCTTTCATGTTAGTTAGGTCTTTATAATCACTTGGGGGTGAGGTAAGCTGTTGGGTGGGTCTTTATAATCCTTGGGGAGGTGAGGTAAGCTGTATTGAGTTAGATTATTTCTCGTCATGAGGAGGTGAGGAGTAAGCGGCTGTGTTAGTTAGGTCTTTATAATCATGAGAGGTGAGGTAAGCTGTGTTAGTTAGGTCTTTATAATCATGAGAGGTGAGGTAAGCTGTCTTTAAAGCTTTTATATCTTAAGCTTATATCATTATATACAGACATAGATTTAGAGAACTTTGGAAGGATTTTGTATTTTGAAATCTAGGAACTTTTACTCTTAAGACGATTTTGTGTTCTCATACCTCGAAAAATGTAATACTTTTAGTTATTTTATGTACCGAGGAATTTACTTACAATATTACAGTGATCGTCTCGGTACTTTAATGACTATGTGCTGTATTTGTGAAAGTAAATGTCTACAAACATAAGAACTATTACAAAAAATAACATTAACAGGAGCAACTAAATGAGATAATCTAACGCCTACTACCTGTTAATCCTCCACCTGAAGAAGACTATGACCTGACTATATATGTATAGCCCCCCTCCTGGACCCTGGAGAGGACACCTACCTGAAGAAGACTATGACCTGACTATATGTACTCGCCCCCCTAGACCTGGAAGGGCACCTACCGAAGGGCTAATGACCTGACTATATATATAGGTCCCCCCCCCCCCCCCCCCACCCCTGGACCTGAATGGCACAGTACACCTACCTGATGGCATTGGCCTTGGCGATGTTAACCTTGGCCCGGATGTGTCCATTTAGGCCGGGGAGGATGTCCACCATGACCAGCACCACCTGCGCCGTCAGGGACACGTTCTTGTAGCCGTCACGCTTAAGCTGGAATGCCGGCTGTAAGACAACGCCAGGGATACTCAGTACAGTGAGTGGTCAAACAGGCCCGAGTCCTAGTGGTCCTTTTAAGTCTTAATAGGCCCCAGTCCTAACAGGCCCTATAATAATCAATCAAAATATTACGTTTGGGGCCCATTGGGACTGGATCCTATTAGACTTGGGTCCCATTAGGATTGGAAACCTTTTTGGATAATGCCCACTCGACTAATCCTTCGTTATTATTTACGCCTCAAGTTTCTGAAAGACACGTACGTTTAATTTTCTCCCCTAAGTGTAGCTGAGACTAAATATATAAATTCCTCACCACGACACAAGATGGCAGCACTGAAACTCTTCTCTTTTTCCGTCCAGTTAAAGGAGAAAAATAGACGACAAATAGGAACCATAAACATAAATAAGATTTCAACCAAGAGCCAAAAGTTTAAGATCACCTGAAGAATATCCACCCCAGCTTATTTCACCCAAAGATTAACCACCCTAACGCTCTTGGGGGGGGGGGAGGTTAGGTTAGGTTAAACTTAAGGTGAAATAATCTCTGGTGGAGGTTCTTATGGTGATGCTTCATTAGACACTATGGATGGCTCTGTTCACTTCAAATTCCTTTACTCTGCTCACCTGGGAACTTAACTCAGATAAGTCAACATCTGATGACGACTGTAATAAACGCTTTGAATCGTCATATAAGTTGTACTGAACACTTTGTAAATATATACCAGAGACATTGAGGTTTGTTTTATATAAAGAAGTACCATGTACTTCTAAAGCCGTGTCCCCAAGGTTAAGAAATTAGTGTCATGCCAATTTTTAAACTTCTGATCTGGATTATTTACATCAATTTGGGCATTTGAAAGATATTTGGTTCTTCCCCAAAACACCGGAATTTTTCTGCGTGATTAAATTAGCTTGGTAATGATTTCCAGGCCAGCAGATCCACTAAAAGCGTCTGATACACACATACATACACACACGCGCTATCTGAACGTACTGTAAATACTCTATAACATTCAATGCCATATTATCATAATCACTGAGATCCGATAAACACCCTTTGTAGCCTCTATTCTATAATCCTTTTTGCGCTACTGCTCACAGCTTGAGTAAGGTGTGCACAATAAACTAGCTGTTGTCCACGGCAAAATTCAAATTCTGAAAGGTGCTGTATACTTCAGCATTCCTCAGGATACTCCACAGGACACAGGATGTTAACGTTGAAGGAGTCCTTCGAAGGTCGCAAATCGAAAATCTAAACAAGTAATCCAAGGATGCAAATTACATTTCCTCCCTTTTTTTACATGTAAGATCTAGGTAGAAACAATGAGCGCTCTATGCTGGAATGTCATGGCTCAGTCCACAGGGAAGCTTGGTTGGAGCATGATAATGAACGGACGGTCGAGTGTAAATTGGTGCCCGGGTAGACTACTGACCGTGGGGTTGGTCTTGGAGTCCAGCGGGTGGGTGTAGTTGGGAGTCTCGGTGAAGGCGCCCATAGGTGTCTGGTAGTTGAGGATCCACTCCGCCGCCTTTATGGAACCTTCTATCACCATTGCTTTCACTTAAACTTGGTGGTCTTCTTGCACTTATCTTGAATAAGGGTAAAAGTAACACAGACACATAACTGAGCACAAGCTGGGGAGGTGAGCCTCAGAATCCACACAAAATAAATGTTATAATTTCTGTGAAATTTTTTTTCATCATGATTTTTTCTATTGAAAATATTTATAAATTAACCAAAATTCCATAAGGGTGAATAAAGTCTGAAACACAGACGAATAACTGAACACAAGCTGGGGAAAGAATTCTGACTGAGCAGCTCCATTGTAGTGAATACTGGAAACTGGGGGAGATGAACAGCCTTCCAACTGCCTTGTTACCACCACAGATGCATTCACGCTTAATAATTTTTATTATTTTTGTAAACAAAGTTATTACAAATTGCAATTTTTTTTATTTTGAAAACTTTTCAAAATTCAGGAAGGAAGAATTTTTTCTGTAACCCCAAATTAAGGTCTAAATTTGTAAATTCCATTAGGGAGTAATTCCATAACCAGAAATTCTGTAACCCAGGGGATGCCTGTACAAGTTCACTTCCACAAAATGTAAATAAACGAAGCTCACCTCCAAGGATGCCATCATAATCATTGACAAAAATGGATGGGTTGGATGCCCTAACCTATATATGGAAACAGTGGTCAACACAAACTGTCACTAATGAGTGGAGAAAAAAGAAATTACAGCAGCTTTCACTTTTCACTGTACAGTACTGAGCTGTTTGTATGTTTTAAGTAGCACCACAAATTTAGGGCAGTACTCTTGCCCATAAAAAAAGATATTCACTTCATGGAAAAATGCATCAAATCAACCTGATCACTGCTCTTTACTCCCCCCTCTTGCCTCATTTGACATAACTAGCAACTTTCTGAATGGTAAATTTAATTTCATCCACAAATTAACTTGGAATACCCAACTTTTTGGCCAAAATAACCTACACCATAATCAGAAAACTTGAACAAAAACTAACACTTACCGGCACTTCAGGTGAAGGATGAGGATAATTCAAGTTTGTGGTGTCAGCGGTGATGGGGGACTCACTGCACTACACTATATACAATACAATTCTGTACTGTACAGTCAACCCTCACTTTACGCGGTTAATGTAACCCACAGGGTACCGCGGAAAGTGAGAAACGCGTAAAGTGAATAACATAACATATGGGATTAAATGAAATAGAGACCAGCTGACCCCCAAACTCCACTTTTTCCAACACAATACCTATGTTCTAGTAAAAATAACATCTTAATTTTATGATGGTACATGCACACAATTAATACTTAAGAGAAATAGAGAAATACAGTCGCCAAGTTAATGTCCATTCAAATAATGGACACGACTCCCTCCCCCTCTTCTCACACTACACTGCTGGCTCTTCCCTCTCTGAGAAATTTTTGGGGGAAAACCAGGTATAGTAATAAATAATACCTCAAACTAAAGTTAGGATAATAAAATTGACATTGCTGGATTCCTTGTAAGACCAGGAATATTTTGAATATAAATGTCATATATTTTTCACAAAAGATAACATACTTACTCAGATTAAACATTTTATCTAAAAATTTGTATGTCTAATGCAAAATATATGATGTTTATATTCAAAATGATCACCAAATTGTAAGAATTCCAGCAATGTAAATTATATTCTGGCCGGGTAATTTGTATGAATTTTATGAGCTAAAATAAAAATCTTCAGTTAATAAAAATAAAAAAATATTCTTCACACGGTAACAGATGGTCGGTCGCCGGTCCCTCCCTCCCTCCCCCCCTCCCCCCACCAACGTCCCTACTAGATAAATGTGTGGGAATACCAGACTGTTTACCTTTTTAGTAATAAATAATAAATCAGACTAAAGTTAGGATAATATAATTGACATTGCTGGATTCCTTGTAAGACCAGGAATATTTTGAATATAAATATCATATTTTGCACAAAAGATAACATATTTACTCAAGAGTAAACATTATATCTAAAATTTGTATGTCTAATGCAAAATCTATGATGTTTATATTCAAAATGATCATCAAATTGTAAGAATTCCAGCAATGTAAATTATATTCTGGCCGGATAATTTGTATGAATTTTATGAGCTAAATAAAAAAATTATACTTCACCGTGTAAAGGAGGAATGTGAGCATCCTGGGTTCTGGCAGGGCACCGCGTAAACGTGGAAACGCGGAATGTGGGACCGCGTAAAGTGAGGATTGACTGTATTGTAATCACTTACAGAACCAGCTTTAAATGTTATTATTCACTTAAGACACTACTGTACATGTATACTGGTTAAATTTTCATTGTGGGTGGAATAGCACTTTGTATAAAATACCTGAAAATAAGTAGAGTGACTGCAGGTGGGTATCCTTTCACTAGGTCTAGACTCATAAACTGAGCGGCTGACCCAGAAGAGCCTCCAACGCATCCCGCGTGGGTCCCACGTGTTACACCATTCCAACATTGTGTAATCATATCTCAGAATATTGTGAGATATGTATTAAATATTTTTTATGCAAAAATAATTCCAAAATAATTTACAAAAGAGTATTTTACCACCATTCAGAGATACTGTATATCATATTACAAGCTATCAATGGTTTACTGAAGTGAATTTACCGAGTCTTCAGTAAAAAGAAGCTTAAAATGTGAAATACTGTATGTGTATTGCAATTACTGACACAAAAACAATGTTTAAACAAAACAAAATAATAATTTTTTGTTTTAATAATCTTCTTAGGAAGGGGATTATCACTCCTCTTAGGCACCAGTCAATCTTTGACCCCTTCTCCCAAACCTTTTGTCTGGTTTCTGGCTTTGCCCCAAATTTTATCCCACGAGTCTTTAAGTGATAAATTCATAATTATTTTTTTTTTTATTGGGCACCCCCCTACATCCTTGTGTAAGGTGAAGCGCAGAAGGGTTTACAGTGCCCAACAGGGAAGCATGTTAAGATCATGCTTGCCTTTATGTCTCATGAGTTAAGGGTGTAGAAGCCTGAAGAGTCAATGGTTTATGTCATCAAGTTATTGGAAGCTCCAACAACTTGTCCCTGAATACGAATTCGCAACTTTCGACTTACAACAGGTACCTACTTTACTGCTAGGTGAACAGGGACTAATGGGCGCTAGGACGTATGTCCAAACAACTTCCACCGGCCCGGGAATCGAACCCGTGACTTCTCGCTTGCGAAGACAAGAGCGGTACCACTCTACCACCAGCACCCCCATAAATTCATAATGACCTAAACAAGCATCTCAACAGAAAATGACGAGGTTTGTGGTCTCTTATTTCATTATAAGAGACAGAATAAGTTTCTCCAACAAGACATCCAGTTCCTTTTATACAAGCAAACTAATGGCTTCATTTTTGCAAATTCATAAGGTAAAGTCACGGATAGCTACAATACTTACCTTGTGATATCATCTGCACTTATTAAACGTAACTGCTGGAAACAGTTTCAAGAAAATTGGCTAAACCTGATGGACTCTCGGAGCCTTTTCCCCAAGGAAGTGGTGCCTTAAAGGATAGACACACTTTTGACCAAGACAAAACAAGACTGCCACAGTTACTAACCATGCAATGTGAGTGAAAC